GGAGTGTTCTCATGCATTGTTCTCAAATGCTTGGATCTTTCTCTCTGTTTCTGCCAAAAGTGTCCATGTTTCACATCCATATAGGATTTATAGCTTCAACTAAATATATTTTGAACACAATTGTATATCTTCAATTACAGATAGAATGTGTTATTGGTCATTTTACTATAAATAGGTATTGTTGGTAATTTTACTATATAAAAATGTATTGCTGTTATTTTTACTATAAAAATGTATTTTTATATTTTCATAGTGTTTAGTTTTTTGTTTGGGGGTTCGCTGTTTACCCATAGCAGGGACCCTAACAGGTGTTACCACCCAGGGTCAGGAGGAAACTGGAAATAACAGCAATTAAGAAGTGGTCCCATGCTCCTCAAAACCCCCAATCTCCTGATCTGAGCCTTAATTTCTATGGATACTTATTGTTGTAGAATTCATCATGAGTTTACTCAAACATTAACTTAGGAATAAAGAGTCATAAGCATATTACGATAGAAAAACCATGTAATTCTCACTGGTTAAAACTAGTACATATATAATCTTGCATAAACCAAGAAATATACACTCATATATTGAAGGTCAACAATATCTAGTGATTAGACCATTTTCAAATATGCCCAAGTCAAGCAGAAAAGACTTTGGCAAAAAATCTTTTGAAATACAAAACTCCACTGCCATCATTTTCCTGCAAGAAGGCAGGTGGTCTTCCCTACCACCCCCCAAAAACAGGATGCATGAGGGTAGGGCCAACTCAGATTACAGAGGTAACAGTTTATCAGGATCTACGACAACTCACGTCAAATAGTGAAAAACATATGCTCACTTATGTACACACTGACATAGTTTGTTATATATCACACACAAACACACACACAAGTAAAATTAAGTTATCAACCATTGATATTAGAATTATAAAGTATTTTTAGGGCGTGAGGAGGTGCTAAAAAGCCCTCGGTATGACTCCCTTTGCGAAAATCAGTAGCTACAAATTAGAGATACCAAAATCAAGCAAGTACAACTGTCTAAATATATAGGAAGTGTTTTAACAGAGGATGGGAATTTTTCTTTTTTTTTTTTTTTAAATCCACTCACTTCAAGGCAATAAAGCCACTAAGACACAAGGGGGTTACTGAGTGGGAAAATATTAAGGCAAGAGAGGAATAAAAGAACAAATTAAAAAGAAAGAATGCAATGTCAAAATCTGAAGGCATAGTGGAATAGCGAAAGATGCCTTCTAAAAGCTAAGCAAAGTATGAAGAAAAAGGAAAATATTGTTAGAAACAAAAAGAGTACTGATCAGTCCTCCTATATGGCAAGGAATGGTGGACAATCTTCTCACAGACAAAGAGGAAACTAGAGGCAACAGAAATTTGGTTCAACAGAAGTATGCTAAGGCAAATGTAGAATTTTCTAGGATATTAGAAATTCATCTCTTGATCTAACAGAAATTATTTCAGCAAGAGAACGCTGATTAAATCTTGGACAGTGCTTTTCTCCATTCTCTTATAATTTCAATTCTTATTTACATGCTTTTCTAGTCAGACAAACACACTCATTTCAGTCATTATACTCACAATGTTTCGACCATTATACCCTCCAGTGTTCTTCAGGTATTTTGAGACAAACCCTTCATTCAATCCCCGATTGTTGACTGTAAGCAAAATCTTACATGAGACCAATCTTACACACAATAGGAAAAAAAAACAACAAACTCAAGTGTGTTATCTAATCTAATCAAAATCTGATAATAAGAATACCAAAAAAAAACTGATAAAACATTAAAAGAATTGAAAATAACAGAATAAAAGAAAATGTTTGATTTTTTTTTTTCAGAAACTGATTAAAACATTAAAGAATTGAAAAATAACAGTATATAAAAGAAATGGATGTTTGACTGTTATATAGTGCCTATTTTTGTATAGTGATTTTCTAAGTGTAGCTTAGATGTGGCACAAGGCCGAAAGTATGGGGCACCCAGTGAGGAATGCCTATTCTTTTATGGTGACTTTCTAAGTGTAGCTCAGATGTGGCACAAGGCCGAAAGTATGGGGCACCCAGTGAGGAATGCCTATTCTTTTATGGTCACTTTCTAAGTGTAGCTTAGATGTGGCACAAGGCCGAAAGTATGGGGCACCCAGTGAGGAATGCCTATTCTTTTATGGTGATTCTCTAAGTGTAGCTCAGATGTGGCACAAGGCCAAAAGTATGGGGCACCCAGTGAGGAATGCCTATTCTTGTATATGGCAGTGAATGAAGGACAATTTCATCACAAATAAAGAGATGATACATATATACTCTTCACCTTTCAATCCACAATCTTTATTTTTTATCAAAAAAAAAAAAAAAAAAAAAAAAAAAAAAAGTCCTAATGTAGTGCAGTGATTTGTATAAATATATATTGTGCTATGCATATTTAAATTTATTTAATAATGTTGTAATGTTTATTATTTTTCACACACATAATAGTTGGAATATAATTTTGTGTTTGTTTATATATGCAAATTGATATGAGAATGTGTATTGAAAACAAATACTGAATTTCCTATTAAAAATGCCATAAAAACAGAAAAATTGGTTGAGGTATTATGTATCATTTAAGCAGTGTCTCAGGAACACACAGACATACATACATACATACATACATACATACAGAGTTTTAATATTATATAGATAATAAAACAATTACAACAATATACTGTAATAAAAGTTACGTGACAGTTACAAGATTTATTATTGCTGTAGATCTTATTACTCACAATAAGTGATTAACTAGTAATAAAATAACACAATTATAATATACTGAAAGAAAATAATTTATTAAATCTCTTTACTACGAAGCTTATTTCATAGACACATGTAAAGAATCACCAGTCAGTAAGTGTGTGACTATAGTGATAAATGCTCTGTCTCTAATATTGAGAACTCTTCCACTAAAAAATAGCAAATTTTAAACAATATCACATATTGGAGTGTTTGGAAAGTAATTATATTAATCCATTCATTTTCTATGGCTTATCAACCCTTTGCAGCTTATTTAAAGTCAGAAAATATTTTTATATAATAATGGTTTTAATTATAAAAGTTTTACAAATTAATCCATAGCTTGGGGGGGAAACAGGTTGATTCATACTTTCCCAAGGGTATTTGCATGTAAATGAATATAATGAACCCAACTGGAATTGGAAGTCAGTTCTCTGTTGACATGAAGAAATTAAGTTTGTAGATGTTGGATATCCCCAAGGAAGTCAAATGGACTCATCCACAAGTTACTTAAAGTCACTACAACTTGGGGACAATTTTACAAGCAAAGTATAACAGGAGTTCACTCTTCTGTTAATAATATTAGCTCGAACCCCAGTGGATCATCCCTCCAAGCAGTACCTCTCTTTTAAGTAGGGACTGGGGTCATTGCCTGGTGCCAAGGCATCCCCAAAAAGGGGAACTACCAAGAGGTTTTGAGCAATTTTGTGATATTACTGTTGAAAATTCTATATTAAATTTTGACTTTTGTGTCACATTCTGTTGTGATGCGAATGCACGGATAAATACCGTTATATGAGCAAAGTGCAACAGACTAGCACAAGAGTTTGCTCTTCTGCCAATAATATTAACTAATGCCTCAGGGGACCATCTCCTCAGTCAGTACCTCATCATCAGAGTGGGGATGCGCTCATTACCAGGTGCTGAAGGCATGCCTACAAAGGGGAAGTGTTGCGAGGACTTAAGCAATTTTTCTACAGTACTGCCAAAAAACCCACATTAATCTTTGACGTATGTGAACACAAGGATAAATAACATACAAAGTGCTTGCTTGTATTAACATGTAGATAAAGTGTTTGTATTAATGAATCCTATTGTCAGTCCCATTGATACTACCATGTCAATCATTATTAACAGTAGTATTTGAGGAATCAACCATACAGGTGCCTCTTTTCCAGTAGTGGTTCTAGAGGTAAAAAAATGCCCAGGTGGAACTTCTTTCCTACAATTTAGGATAGTTTAACTTAATGGATGTAGTGTGGCAGGTCTTAGCTGTAAAGGTCTGAACTGGAGAAATTAAAGAATGAATCTCACCCAAACCTTTGCCATAGAAATAGCGACAGGCTGGGGTTGAAAATATTTCATCCTCTACAAGGTTTGTCTGTCTATATTTCTGAGATGAGGTATTATGTACACTATTTACATTATTCGAACTACTGTCCTCATCTTTGTTGCCATATTTATTACAACATTTCGGCCTTCTTCAGATGGTGGGAATTTCAAAATGCACCCTTTATTTTGCTCCCTGGGGTAGACTGTTCTAGCTCCACGTGCTGAAACGTTGTAATAAATATGGCAACAAAGATGAGGACAATAGTCCGAATAATGTAAATACCCTACAAGGTTGTGTAAAAAGCTGCTACAGCCCAGACATTGCAACAAGACTTCCGCTTTTGATCTGATCTGACTCTTGTAAATATAAAGCATGGCAGGAGGAGTCTGGTACTTTTATAGAGCAGCATAAGGAGCCAACCATTTTCCCCATCATCATTAGCAATGGATCATATATATAAAAGTTCCACTTGAGATCTGGGGTGAACTTATGTCGCAAAAGACATTCAAAGCAAGAAGCCTAAATTTTAAATAAATCTTTTTACTGGATTTCCTAATATCGCTTGTTATTGAATTATAAACCTCTAACCTCCACTTACACAAATTAATAAAAAAAATGGGATCATAAAATACAAAAGAGCATTTATTTCTGGAATCAAAGCAATTGGATTTGCATTTTTAGTAAATGTATGCCTCTAGATTATCTCATGTAACAAATCGAATTTGAGCAAATGGATTTTCTCATTTCTTTATTAATTCTGAGGTTAATTTCTTTTCATAAGGAAAAATATCAGAATGTTAACTTGTTTCTTGTTTTGACTTTTGTACTCGGCTGGGGAAAGTTTGTTGATGTTAAACGAATGACAATAATGGTAGAAAATCTAGCACAAGATAAAAGAATAATTTCATCAAGTAGAAATAATGAAATAAAAGATATAGGAATTAGGGAGGTAAGAAACTGAGAGGAGAGAAAGGGGGGATAATACAGAAAAAGGGAAAGAACAAAGAAAGGGGCAGAGGAGGAGAGAGAAGAAAACAGAGTGAGGGACAGAGAAAGAGGAAAACAGGGCTAGTGGTAGAGAGAGAGAGAGGAAAACAGGGAGAGAGAGAGGGAGAGGGACACACAGAGAGAAGAACAGAGAGAGACAAACAGTGTGATGGGGAGAGAGAGCAAAAAACAGAGTGAGTGGAAGAGAGAGAGAGCAAAAAACAGAGTGGGTGGGAGAGAGAGAGAGCAAAAAACAGAGTGGGTGGGAGAGAGAGAGAGCAAAAAACAGTGTGAGTGGGAGAGAGAAAGCAAAAAACAGAGTGAGTGGGAGAGAGAGAGCAAAAAAACAGAGTGAGTGGGAGAGAGAGCAAAAACAGAGTGAGTGGGAGAAAGAGAGCAAAAAACAGAGTGAGTGTGAGAGAGAGAGAGCCAAAAAACAGTGAGGGGGAGAGAGAGCCAAAAAACAGTGAGGGGGAGAGAGAGCCAAAAAACAGTGAGGGGGAGAGAGAGCCAAAAAACAGTGAGGGGGAGAGAGAGCCAAAAAACAGTAAGGGGTAGAGAGAGCCAAAAAAACAGTAAGGGGGAGAGAGAGCCAAAAACAGTAAGGGAGAGAGAGCAAAAAACAGTAAGGGGGAGAGAGAGCAAAAAAACAGTAAGGGGGGAGAGAGAGCAAAAAACATAGTGAGGGGAAGAGAGGGAAAACTGAACAAGGAGAGAGGGAAAACTGAACAGGGGGGAGAGAGGGAAAACTGAACAGGGAGAGAGAGGGAAACTGAACAGGGGAGAGAGGGAAAACTGAACAAGGGGAGAGAGGAAAACTGAAACAGGGGAGAGAGGGGAAACTGAACCAGGGGGGAGAGAGGAAAACTGAACCAGGGGAGAGAGGGAAAACTGAACCAGGGGGAGAGAGGGAAAACTGAACCAGGGGAGAGAAAGAAAAAACCTGAGTGGAGGGGTGGGGGAGAGAGTAAAAAACATAGCAGAGGGGTGGAGAGGTAAAAAAAATGGAGCCAGGGCTAGAGAGAATGAGAACAAGGGAGAGAGAGAGTGAGAGAGACAACAGAGAAGGGGAAGAGGGTAAACAGGGAAGAGTGTGAGGAATATCTGAGAAGATGTTGCAACCACACACACACACGCAACCACACACACACACACACACAAAAAAAAAAAAAACCCTATTCTCTAGCACATGAAACTTCAGAAATCTAATTAGGAGACTTGAACCAGAATGCCAAAATTAAACAATAAATATTTTCACCTGACTCTGCAAAAGAGTAAAAGACCCCACACCAAAAAAAAAAACCCTGACAACAGCAGAATCTGAAAGAAAAGGGGTCAAACAAAATAAAGATGTGTGGCATAAGGACATGATCAAAATCTTCAAGATTTCATGAAGAATGGTGCAGTAATGAACAAAAAAGTGGGTCACAGAAGTGGCGGTGGTTGTGGTGTATGAGAATAGTGAGAGTGTGACTGATTAGATAATATTATCTCGACAGGCACAGCAACCCTATGAAATGTAACAGGACACCATTGCTTAACCTCCACTACCCAACTGGCATTTCTCATTTTTACCCCTCAGGATTTGGTCTGGGGTTTAAAAAAAAAAAGAAAAAAAAAAGAAGTATTTTTCACTGGTTGTACCATCTGATAACATTACAGGTGGAATACACTATCAAGGGTTCCTTTCCTACAGTTTCTGCAATAGGTTGAAGTGTGGATGTGGGGATGTGGAAATCCTGTTTGAGGGTGAGGCAGAATTATGGGGGCAGGAAAAGAATGGGTACTGAAACATCAGTAATGTTATTTTGTTCACTTTGAAAATAATTACAGGAACCCCCCACCCCCCTCAAAAAAGAAAGAAAAACAGTAAATACAAAAATAGTGACACATGATAATTTTTTTTTTTTCTTGCACAGTGGTAGGGTCATTATGAAGTTGGTTAATATAACAACCTATCAATCCTTAGTGGGTTCTTTAATGATGAAAACAAGTCTTGTAAGACAAAAATAAAAATGAATTAAGAGACAGAGAGGGGTGTCGGCCCGTTCGGCACTTGCTTCAAGGGGTCAAAATGGGCCTGAAGCTTGTACCTGGATCTGTAAACATACCTGGGTCTGCAAACATATGACCAAAAGGTACTCTGCAGGGAGGGCAGTCAGTATAGTCCAAGACCCACCAACATGGAAATCATTATGACTGATAATGTTTGGTTTGTTTTACGGCATATCAACCCTGATGGGTTATTTAATGCCGACAAAACTTTTATTGCTGCTAATGTTTTTCTTCAAAAATCTATTTCTGGGAATATTTTTCCTTGAAGAAATCTATAGCTGGTCATATTTTTTTTCCAAAGAATGTATAGCTGTTTGTATTGCTGGTATTTTTTTAAAGTATTGCTGATAATAAGTTTTCCTTCAAAAATTATTGCTGGTAATAATTTTTTTTTACTACAAAGTATTTCTGGTATTAAAACCTATTTTTACACAAGTTTGGGTGTTAACTATTTGCCCAAAGCTGGGACCCTAACAGGTGCTACTACCCTGGGTCAGGGTGGACCTGGGAACACCAGCAATTAAGAGGTGGTTCCACATTCCTCAAAGCCTCCTGATCAGAGATCTTGCTGTTGGATGTAGTTTATCGTCTTAACCTGGACACGGATGTAGTTTATTGTCATTCCCAGAATATCAGAAAATTCCCAATAAAATTTATAGAAATAAAAAATAAATAAATTGGTAAAAAATGGATTTAAAAAGAAAAAAAAAAAAAAAAAAAAAATATATATATATATATATATATATATATATATATATATATGACTATATATATGGATGACGTTATATCTGCTCCTGAAATTAATTTCAGTTGAGCACTCTGGGGAAGAGGTGTGGGTTGGTAAACAGTGACTATTATAGCTATATAGCGAGACTATATTGAGTCACTGTCAGTCACTGGGCATGTTTTTCTAAAATAAATATGCTAAAAATCCCACCTTCAGCCCTAGTCACTAGTGGAAAGAAGCTCCACTGACACCAATTCAGTCAGGTTTGATCCTAGCTAGAAAATCTAGCCACTGATGAGCTGTAAACAGCAAAACAGTCTGTCTGTGGATGACGTTTTATATATATATATATATATATATATATCAAAGTATATAATTGGTATACACGGAATGAATTCAATAACCAACAATTATGTATGGTTTTGTGTAAGGTATGGAAACTTTGGTATATCATGACTGTTTTTATATATCTAAGTAGTCATAAAAGTCTATGTGTGTATATATATGTGTGTGTTAGGTTTATATGTATATGTGCGTACATATGTACTTGTTATCATAGATATGTATATGTACGTATATGTTTATGTTTATATATTTATTTTGTGTGTATTTCATGTACGTATATGTATGAATATATATATATATATTTTTTTTTTTTTATGTGTGTTAATTTGTTTTTTTGTGTATATATATATATATATATATATATATATATATTTGTGGATTTCTTTATCCTGTTTTTTCTTTGCCAAATATAAATGAAACAAAACAGTATTGATATTTATTGTTTTGGATTTTTATCTTTATATATTTGCTCCTTAAGTTATAATTCAATAAGTGGATTTATATTTATTTATATATATATATATGGATGTATATATATCGGTGTCTATATGGGTATTCAAATTTAACTGTGTGTGTGTATAAGTGTTGATTTGTCTCCTTTTTTTCGTAAAGGGCTGTGGAGTTGTTCACCTCTTCCTTTTTTTTTTATATTTTAGTGTTGTGTGTGTGTGTATCTAATTATGTCTGGTTTATAATTTGATTTTGTCAACATGAGTTTAAGACCATATTCACAAACTTTAAAATAAAAACGGAAAAGAAAAAATATATACATGTATTATCAGATGCACGAATTGTAGCTTTTTGTCTTGTCAGACGTAATTTCAATGAAAAATGAATTGAATAAACATATATTTTTTCTTTTTCTCATTTTTTAAACTTAATAGTGATTAAATTTGGTTTTAAAATTGCCAGTTTTTTAATTTTAATGCTGTTTTATCATATAAATTTATAATTATTAGTTGTAAAAATTATTTTAATATTGGTGTTTAAAGATCTAAATAGCAATAATGAATTTTATTTCAGAATCTTTCTGTACTTTTTTGTTTTGATTGTTATTCTGCTTTTGTAACAAATCCCCTGAGGACAGAAACTTTTAAAACCATTTATTTTCTTTTCAAGAGGATTTGATAAGACAAGAGTTGAAACAAAATGAGTGATTTTATAACATCTTATGTTATAAATTTTTTATAAAAATAATTTATATATATATATATATATATATATATATATATATATATATATATATAAGGGTGCGATGGTGAGTTTTACGTTGTTTCTTTTTGATTTTGGCACAGTATAATAATCATCGTTTGTGAGACGGCAACATAATAATTCCTCCACCATTCATCTTGACAACAGGGCACCAATATGAATATTTCAGACTCAACACAGAAACCTACATTAAGTGTTTGCCTTGATGAGGTAGTGCATTGCCCAGGGGGTCAAGAGGGTAGCTGCTGGTAGGCCCTATGTCTAGCAACAGGAGTCAGTAGCATGCCACACATGCAGGAGAACTCAGTCATGGCTATCAAACAATTTCTGCGACCACATCACCCCTTACATGCAGCCACCTAACTTCCCAGACTGTGACCCCCTTGATTATCAACAAAAAACTCCTTGTAAGACCAAATATGAACTGAAATCAAGGATTATCACAGCATGCACCAACTTCAACAAGGAGACTGTCTAGAAGAGTTACAGGAGAATCCAAAGTCGTCTGGAAGCCGTGGTTAACGCCAATGGCAATTTTATTGAATAAATTTACTCTTTACTATTTCAAGAGATTTTTGTGTCATTTTGGTAAATATATCTGTTAAAATAAGATGTCAGTGTTATTTTCATTTTTCCTTAATTTAGACGACAATTTATCCATCGCAGCCGGTGTGTGTGTGTGTGTGTGTGTGTGTGTGTGTGTAAGAAAATGATATAATTTTTAATACACCAAAACAATGTTAGGATATTTAATAAAAGTGTAAAAAAGTTTTGAGTAACATGTTTCGTCCTTTAAGACTTCATCAGACTAAAGTGATATTTACGTTGATGCAATACTATGTGTAAACAAAAAACACTTTAGTCCAATGAATTCCTGAAGGACAAAATAGTGTGACAAGATTTTTTTACATTTTACCAGTAATTTTCCTATATATATATATATATATTCAGGTATAATGAAAACAAATAGAGTACAATTCCAATGTTCATAACATTTAATTTAAAAGAGGGCTCAATACAGAGTAGAGCAATATTATTTATTTTAGGATATTACACCAAAAGCATGAAAATCATTATAAAATTGCAGTCATGTCTCAATGCATCTCATTAGGCGATTGTAAATTTTCTGTGTAATATCCTAAAATAAACACACACACACATATATATATATATATATATATATATATATATATATATATATATATAAAATGTATATTTAGGTAGCAAGTATTCATTGAAACAAGTTCGATTAGAAAAAAAAAAAATTTTTTTCCAATTTCTTCTGAATAAGATGTTTTATACGGGGGATCAAGATTGTGGATAAACCATCTGGAGTTCAAGTTTTTGGTGTCTGATCAATTACTTTCCACCATCTCAGTCATTTTCAAGAACCATGTACAGTGTCTGCTTCGTACGCAGAATTCCTTTACAGGCAGCAATGTAGACACATAGTATATATGTACAAACTACATGAGAAACACACACATATATCTATACAAACTACATGACAAACACACACACACACATATATCTATACAAACTACATGGCAAACACACACATATCTATACAAACTACATGACAAACACACACATATCTATACAAACTACATGACAAACACACACACACACATATCTATACAAACTACATGACAAAACACACACACACATATCTATACAAACTACATGACAAACACACACACACACACATATCTATACAAACTACATGACAAACACACACACACACATATCTATACAAACTACATGACAAACACACACACACACATATCTATACAAACTACATGACAAACACACACACACATCTATACAAACTACATGACAAACACACACACATCTATACAAACTACATGACAAACACACACACATCTATACAAACTACATGACAAACACACACACATCTATACAAACTACATGACAAACACACACACATCTATACAAACTACATGACAAACACACACACATCTATACAAACTACATGACAAACACACACATATATATATATATGTATGTATACAGACTAAATGATATACACACAACCTATAAAACACACTAAATATATATATATATATATATATATATATATATATATATATATATTAGAGAGAGATATTGAAAGCCATTATGTATGTGCATTAAGAATAATGCCAATAAATTTGGTACAGTGTGCTTTTGAACAGTTTAGGGTAATTTTAGAATAAATTAATGACATTATTCAAGTTATTACTGTATAATGTTTATTTTTCTCAACTTCCTCTCTCCCAAACAAATCCTGCCAGTGCTAGAGATAGAACTCTAATATTATCGGATCTATAATCCAGTACTCCGCTCCAGTTCTTTCATCAAATGTAAATAGGATTTTGAAGCAAGAAACTCCTCAAATAGATTGTTTCAAATGTTGAAAGCATTCATTTAAATAAGTCATCCAAGAAAGGAGAACTTAAGAGAAAAAGTTCCACAGTAAAACTAATTCCCTGCTTTTGTAATAAAAGAAAGAAAAGAAAAGAAAGAAGAAAGCAAAGAGAAGGCACTGTCTAATGAGGCGAAAGAAAAAAAGATTGTTGACAATTGGTTTTGCGAAAGCACAATGGAATGGTTTCTGTAGACATGGTAAATGGTAAATAGGCGCAGAAAAGGCACCGTGAAGAAAGGAATGGAAGATTGTTGCATGACAAAAGCGGTTGAGTTCTGTACCATTCTCAGGTGCCTTGAGTGCAGTGTCTTAGAAAAACTTTTTCGGTGGAAAGGTTAAAGGTTATTTATTTTATTATTT